GTTGTAGAGCATTTTGCTGGAAATGGAAATGCGGTTTTTGCGGATGAGCCCACTGGGAGCGACGAGAACGAGCCCGCGGACCAGCGAGGGGAAGTACGATGTGAAGTCTGCAGCGATGGCGCCTCCCAGAGAGTAGCCGACTATGGTGAAATGTGACCAGTGGATGGGCGAAGATTGCAGAGCGAGCAAGATCTGGCTGGTGAAGAGGCTGGAGTCATAGTTGGTTGTGTCCGGGTTAGGGCCATCAGAGTAGCCGCGACCAAAGAGGTCTGTTGAGATTGTTAGTATGATTATGTTGTAGCATAGCACGGACTGTCCACGATGCAGTTCGGTAATCGCATCTGCAGTGCACGTGGTTCACCGTTGGTAGGGCTGGCGGGCCCCTTTCCGAAACGGGCAAAGCAAGGAACCCCATGACACAGTCCTGCGCCCGGTTCAACGTGGGGCATGCAGATGTGGCGATCATAGAAGCTGCACAGAAAAACCATCTTTTCCATGTTCAGGAAGACGGTGTTTGGTTTCACGGCTTTGAAACAGCGAAGAGGAAAGTGATGGGGCAAAGACTAGCAGTGACAGCAAGGAGGACCCACCAAAAAGCATGACACGTCGGCCCCTGCCAACCAGTTTGTGTGCCAGGTCGGTCAAGGCAATGCTCGGAGTCGAGATGCCATGGATGAGCAAAACTTTTTCTCCATCTCTGGGGCCGAACTCATACACGCGGATAGTACCCCAAGGTGAATCGACATCGCGGGCTCCGGGCAGTGCAGCTGGATGGTATGGAAGTTCTGCAGCGTCTTCGGGAGACAGATCCGGTAGCAGGGAATCCCTGGGAGACGGAATCGGAGGCCGTCTGGCAGCCTTTGAAGATGAAGTCAAAGCCCATAGGATGGATAGTCCGCCAACAGAGGCAGCGCCTATGATGGCATAGCGCTGGACCTTGGGAAGGCGCTCGAAGCGGGACAGCTGGGTGGCGGTGATGTTGGAGACCCTCTGGATGGCAACCTCGGCGGCTTTGGGCTGGGGCTTCTCGCTGGCGAATAAGGAAAACATGGCGATACAGGAATAGATGTAGAGAGTCGGACCCTGAGGCGGTGGAAGAATAAGCTGATCGCCATGGCGCTAAGCGATCGCCGCTTCCGCTGGATGCGCCACATGGAACAGGCCCATTGTTGCCATACCGTATTTCTTTTACAGCTCGGTTCGGATGCCATCGCCTGCCGGGCATGCGGCCGGCCTTACTAGAGACGCTGCCGCATGCATATCACACGAACCTTATCGCGACGTAACGTGAAATAATGCTCCGCGTACCAAGGCCGAGTTGAATTGGCGCTGATCTCGAGGCGGCTAGCCCTGCTGCTGTGGAGTGAGCCAAGTCTGGGAGCGCGTCAGCTCAATCCTCACAGCCACAAGCTGAGCACGGAGACGCTGCGCAGTCGGCCCTGCACTTCTACACATCCTCCCTGCCCACGGCGTTGCTGACCCGGGGACAACCACTGCATTCTGACCAACCCCACTGTCTTTTATCTTCTCGCTGACCTTGCATTTCCCTTTCCTTCTCCTCTCCGCCCCTGCGCCATCCCCCAGGAGGGTCGCATGTCTGGTGCCGTCGTTTGCGGACCCCCGAGAACATTCACGCCTACATTTTCGCATAGTTCAATACTACGATACTAGAGCAGTCGACTGCCATTGAGTCTGAGACAGCAACGAAGCATCCGCGATTGGCTGGGTCCTGTAGCGCATCATGGACGACTGGACGTCGAAACAGCTCCCTGAGCGCCTTCCCTTCTCCAAGAAGCGCCTTCCCAAGAAGGTCATCTTCTCGTGCGTACAACTATGCATGCATAAGAGCATTAGAAACTGACCAGCACAGATATATTGGCGACTACCTCATCATACTGCAAGCCCACCCGCTCCGCGTCACACGACCTCCTTCCCAGCTCGATCCGGCTAACAAAGCCATAGTGTTCTCATGATAACCTTCACCATTGTCGACAAGATCCCTCCCTTCCACCAGCACTTCGCCCTCGAAAACTACACCCTGCACTACCCGTTCGCCGAACATGAGCGCGTACCCGTCCCGTGGCTATGCGTCTACGTTATCCTCGCTCCCGCTGCGGTCATCGCACTCTACACCATGGTCATCGATGGGCTCTTCTCACACCAGACGACAATGCCCGCAGGCAGGGCTGGCATCAAGCGCCTATCAGGGAGATATCGATTCAAGGATCGGTTGTGGGAGTTGAACTGTGGCATCCTTGGCCTTGGCTTGAGCATTGGCGCCGCCTTCACCATCACAGGAGCCTTGAAGAACGCCATTGGCAAGCCGCGGCCGGATCTGATCAGCCGCTGCCTCGTCGATGAAGCCAAGGTCAACCGTGCAAATTACGCATTACAAACCATCGACATCTGCACGCAGACCGACAATTACATTCTACAAGATGGCTTCAAGAGCTTCCCCTCTGGGCACAGCAGCGGTATGCGACACAACCGCACAAATAAAGCATCTACTAACTCCCTCCAGTCTCCTTCGCCGGCCTCTTCTACCTCTCTATCTACCTCGCCGGAAAGCTACACGTTCTCGATGCAAAGGGCGAGGTCTGGAGATCATTCCTCGTCATGGTTCCTGCCCTCGGAGCTGCTCTGATTACCGGAACCCGTATCATGGATGCTCGTCACCACCCATTCGATGTCCTCTCCGGCGCCCTACTTGGCATACTCGTGTCATGGGGCTCCTACCGCCAATACTTCCCTCCCGTCTCCGAGACATGGCGCAAGGGACGCGCATACCCAATTCGAGCCTGGGGTCAGGCATCACGCGCACCGCCGCAGCCCACGATCATGGTGGATGAGGATGTACAACCGCTGCAGCGCATGGCCAAGCCGGTGGACGAGGAACGCGGAGAAGCGTCTGGTTACTCTTCTACGACTGCCGTGCCGGAAGGTAGTGGCGACCACACGGGCAACGTCTTCCGCCAACAGATCCACAACTCGCAACGCCGACGCCAGGAATCAGGATCGCAGTATGGCGTTGATCGCAGCGATACAGCAGCATCAAGCAACTACCGAACCGGCACGATGGGATCCACCATGACGTCGAAGGTGCACACATACCAGAACCAGTTGCCGGCTACGAATCCCTTCGCAGTAGATGTTGCGCGCCAACGTCAAATGGACACTTACGACTATTCGTCTTCAGAAGATGACGACAACTACGAGTTGCAAGCAAGGACTGGCGTGTACAACCCAGTATCTGGGAGGCTAACAGACACTGGATACCATCCACCAGTGGGTCTCTCCCCAGTACCCACACCACCGCCTCCAGTCAACACCATCATACCAAACCAGCAGAGGACGATGTCGCCTACGGGAGATTTGGCGGATAGCAGAGGCGCTCCACCAATGCCACCGCCACATGCTATAAGTACGGCGCCTCAGCAGATTTGATAAGAAATCGAAAAGCCTTGTTTAGCAGAACGCCCGGAGTTGTTTTCTAGACATGCGATTAAGCATATGTTAGCATGTTAGTGTATTGAACATACGTGTAATCTTCACCCCAGCGTGATCAAGACGTCGCGCAAGTGAAGTCTGTATTACATCTACTAATTCAACAGCCCACATCCCCAAGAAAGAAGCAACAGAGAGATAAGCCTATCCCCTGCGTCTTGTGCTCGGACTCTTGCCCGCGGCATTCGCATACGACGGCGTAGCACCGCTCGAGACGGCACGCGCCATTTCCTTCCTGTCGGCCGCGATGGGCTTTTCCAACTTCTTCGACTCTGTCTTCTTAGATGCGGGCGCGTTCCAGTAGTATACGACCTGACAGAACAGGATAGCGTTGAGGGCGAAACCAGCGATGAAGCCGTAGAGGATGAGTGGGTCGTCGACTTCCTGGAGAGTTGTAAAGATTCGAGATAGGGATCCGAGGAGGTAGTTGACGACCTGTTCACCATATTAGTAAACCCATCTCCTGTAACGTAGAAACATGAAAACTTACAGCAAAAGCGCTCAACTGGCCCGTCCCACCCTCACTCCACACCGTCAGAATCTGAGGCACCTTGCTCGCAACACCCAGCACACCAGCCGTCGCCTGAAACAAGCTCAACTTCTCATTATCAACCCACTGGTCATTAAACAGCGCCGCGCCCGCCGCCGCCAACCCCCCAATCCATCCCGCAACGCCCACACCCCGTCCACTGTACTTGAGCACCAAACTCGCAATAGCAATATTCTGCACAAGAATAAGCGCCGTCTCGCCATACGTGCTAAACGGGAATCCGTGGCGGACGTTGTACGCAAGGCTAATGAGGTAGCTGCTTGATTCGAGGAGGTAGGACAGGAACGAGAGGCCGTCGGCGGACTGCGAGTTGAGCAGTTTGAGGAGCTGCGGGATCTTGACGATGGAGGAGGCGCCGATGATGCCGATGCCGAGGCCCTTGGAGATGGCGAGTTTGACGCATTCCGTGGCGGTGATGTCGACGTTGTAGATGAGCGTCTTGTAGCATTTGGGGCCGAGGAGCGAGATGCCTACGTCGGCGATGGGTTGGGGCAGGTTGTGCGTTATGGGTTGGATGGCGGATTTGAGGGCGTCCATGGTGCGTGGTGGTGCGCTGGGAGGGCGACTTGTGTGGGTTGTTGGGTTGGACTGAGAGGGGAGGACACTTTGCGGATACGAGGCGTGAGGGTCTGAACTTTTGGCCCGCACGCACGCTGACGCAAGGCTTGGCACGGGTAGGGGTTCGCGTGTCTACCTAGGTAGACAGACACATGGATGGCGCATCGTGTCACATCAGTTGGGCCTAAGCTAATTGCTACATCATACATTACTACTGCCATTACTGCCATTACAACCATCACAACCATTACAATGCTATCCCGCCCTAGTCACGACCGTCGAAATGCGAGAAGAATGCTATGGTATACTACAAAATGGTCCCGTCAAGTAAAAGGTGTCCGAAGACTCGCGAGATGGTAAAAGATCAAAGCGACGGTCCGGTATGTACTTAAAACACGTACTGCAGATATGTTAGCGATGAATCAGTCAAGACGCGAAATGCTAGACTTACCGGAATGAACAAATAAGGCACCTGCCTCTCGTACTCCTTCCATGCCTCGCCGTACTTCTCCCGGCACTTCTCAATGTCTCTCAGCGCCCTGTGGATGATCATACCGGCAAAGAAAACCGAGTAGAACCATGGGAACGGGCTGCTGAAGCCGGTAATAAGACCCCAACTGATTGCGAAGAACAGATCGCACGTGTAGTGAATCTTACGCGCCTTGCCGTACCAGCCGTCAGCCAGAATCTTGTTGCCATGCGATGTCTGGATAGTCTTGGGGTTGGCGATGCGTCCGTACTTGAAGTAGGGGAAGGTAGTGCGCTCGTCGACAACACCACGCTCCTCTTGACGGAACTGGTTCTTTTGCGAGTTGGTCGTGTCCCAGATGTAGTAAACGCCAAGGTAGGCGAGGGTGAGGAGAGCGGTGAACCAGGTTGGGAGCTGGTATTCGGAAGGGTGGTGGTTGGCGATGAACAGGGTGCAGTGGCAGTACGACAGAGGCACACCAGCCATGTTCCAGAAGATGAGCATGAAGCCAAGTTTCTCGTAGTACATATCCCAGGTTGTGATGATGAGGTGCTCTCCCTTTGCGCAGGCGCCGGCATACAGGTAGTGGGCAAAGAGCAGGAAGATGGCTTCTATGGATACGTAGCCATACTGTTCGTACTGCTTCAAGCAGGTACCGAGCGAAAGGAAGAAGAGGATGAACCACGGAATGCGGACCTCGAGGAACATCTTGAAGTCCAGAATGCCGAAGAGCCTGGGGTTGAGCTCCGCACCGAGGAAGAAGTCGACAATGGGGTTGTCAGTCATCCGAAGGTCAGCGCCGCGGACGCGAGCTGAGACGTATGCGATTGTCGAGCAGAGGAAGCCTGAAAGGATGGCTACGCTCATGATGTGGCCGAACTCGTCAATCAGAGTGTACAGCTTGAAGACACCAGTGAAGTGGAGGGTCAACATGATGACAATGCTAGAGTAGAAAGACCACATGGCCGAGCAGTAGTAGTCCAACTGCTTTCCACCAAGATGAGGCAGAGCCTTGCCCTTGCGGTAGACACCCGGCATGAGCATGTAAAAGGCCATCTGCATGAGTCCAAAGAACCAGTAGATCTGCCACGCTTTGTTGTTCGGGAACGCCTCGGTCTTTACCAGATACCACATGTGTCCAAAGAAGTCGCCGTAGCTCTGGCCCGCGGTCGGTGTAGGGAATTTGCCGTCGTAGAAGGTCGCTCCGATCCACATGTAGTACATGAGCGCTGGGAAGCAGATCATCATGCTGCTCATGCCAATGGCGCCTCCGAACTCGTGAAGGCCGGACTTGTCCTTTGGCGAGAAGAACTTTTCCGCCTCCATCTTGTAGTCCAGCTCGACGATCTCCTTTTCACTCTTTGTGCGCCCATTTGCGTTTCCATTCGTGTGTCCATTCGTGTAGCCGTTGGCGTGTCCGTTCCCGTTGGCATGACCATTGCTCTTCTCCTCGACTTCGTGCTTCACATCGCTGTCGGCAGATCGGAGGGGCTTCAAGAAGTTCTCTGGCTCGGGCGTCGATTCGTATCCGTCGTCGACATCGGACGCAAGCGATTTGCGTTGCGACTTTCTGCGCCCGGGGGTCTCGACAAAGCCAGGACGGTCAGGCTTTCTGCGTTATGCATGTCAGCAACTAGTGCACATGTCTGCACAGTATGCACGCGCGACCTGGCATTCACTCACTGGGGCGTCTTGCCGGCCTGCGACCGCGTCACTCGCATTGACATGGCTACTGTAGGTGCGGGTGTGGCGACGCGCTGTTTCAAGGGGTTCAGACTCGAAAAAGATGAGGCCGAATTTTTGGCAAAGATGACAAGATATGAAGTAGAAGAACTGCCGCTGAAAAAGGTACAAATGCCGTCACAGCACGATCATAAAGGCTATGTACACCGCGCGAATCACCAATGGCACAAAAAGCGGCGGTGAAGTCTTTGTGTTTGTTGACAAGTAGTATGAATTCGGGGAGTTGCTCAGGGCTAGGGGTAATTTGCGCCAATCGGAGCGCGTAGGGCCCGAGTCCGTGACATCAACATGGGACGCTACTGGTAAATACGCCCTATACGGATGTAATTTTGCAGTGGAGTGCCTGACGTCGCGACATGAAGTCTGAGATAGTGACATGACGTCGTAATCTTTGTAAGTACTCCGAATGCTAGATGATGCTAGAATTTCCCAGGACCAGCATGTGCTTAGCGAAAGTATAAAGTTCGCTACAATGAAATCCCCCGCCATCCACCGCTACACCAGTCTTCCTGTGTGGTACTTGCATGTCGTCGTATGGGCCGAGTTGCCCACTCGCCTGACGTTGTTGTAGTTGCAAAGACAGATCCAGCAAAACTCAAAGCGGCATTTCGAGCCTACGAACATCAGCAAGCGATCATTGACGTCCAAAGCAACACGAAACTTACATGTCATGTGGTCGCAACCATCGTTCTTCTCAATATTCCATGTACACCCGGGACCGGGACACTTCTTGGTCAGCTTCCCGATCGCTTGAAGACTCGCTTCTTCTTGTGCTCTCTGGTCTCGCTCCTTGCGACCGGAAGATCGATATTCAAACTCCTCACAAGTTTCGCCTTCATGCCATGTGTTCTCGTGGATGATACAGACTTTGTGTCCACATGCTACGCATGTAAAGATATTGCCTTCGACACCGCTCATGTGGATCTGACCGGAGTCACACGCTCGACACCATCGGAAGTTGGCTGTGCCATTGTCAGCTTTTGAAATCTAAAAGTGTTGTTGCTACGACTTACGATCTTCGCTGAAAGCTGCTCGGGCGATAAATGTGTCGTATTGCTGGAAGATCTCCGGTTGCGCGTATAGCCGGATCTCATGGTATGACAGCACTGTCTCGCATTTGCTCCCTGGACATTTGGCTTCGCGCCAGCTACTGCTTTGGAGCTGCGCGGTTATCCATCCTGAGTAACAGTCCGCACACGTCTCCGGTCGATGATCGCATTCAGCAAGAGAGGGTAGGTCGACAACATGAACGCTATCGCCGCAGACGACGCAATCACGACTCCGCAGATGCGTTCTCTCGTCTACGTAAGTGCTCGTAGCCTGTGGCGTATCGATCGGCCTTGCGTTGTATTGATGGAAAGGCGATGCACCATCGATATCCATAGGCTCTCCATACAGCGCCACGTAGTCTTGGATTCGCGCCCTTTCTGGAACAACAACTTTGGCCTCGTCGGGTTCGGGGTCTAGATCGATAGGATGCTCTCGTGTGCCGATGTTGGTAATGGCCCGCCGCAAACTGGCCAAGCGTCCACTCTTTTGAGACGGTACCCGAGGAGACGCAGCTCGAGGTGCAGATGATACAGGCCCTTCCGCAATGCGCGACGCTGTGGTTTGATAGGTCGCATCCTCTTCCCGTTGTAGATGCTCAGCCAACAGACGGTCTTGCTCTTCTTGAGCTGCGTAATCTGTGTCTCCCCGTGGAGCCCCCCACCCGTGTGTACATCTGATAGCTCGGATTGGGTTCTGGGTCTCGATTTGCGCAACACGAGCTGCAAGTTCAAACTCCGAAGTCTCTGAGCTGTCCGAGCTATCGGGTGTTAGCATATCTTCAGAGCCACTGCTCGATGAATCAGGACTTTGAGATCGGTGGTCAGGCCTCTTTCTTAGAAACCTTGCCTTCCGAGTTCGTCGTCGATTCAGCGACTGTCGTGATAATCCGCCTGACTGGAAGAAGTTTGTGTTGTCGAAATTGCCTCCAGGGCGGTTCGAGCCTGCAGTCGCATCAAGTTCACTGTCATCGTCGATCATTATGGGTTCGCTATGTGTCTGGCCCTGACGAGGGCGATTCACACCCGGCTGTGTCGTTTGGGAATGCGGCTCCTCTCGAAAGCTTGGCAAGATGGGATTTGAGACCGCCATTCTGTTCCATGCTGCTTTGGCGGCTACGGTCTTGGTTGAGGTGGAAGATTGGAGGGGAAGTGAGAAGTTTGTTGCACTACTAGACGTTGACAAGTCGGCAGGTGCAACTGGCACATTAGGCAGTCGCAGCTTCCCCCACTGCTCGGTGAGTGCGTCTCTCACTGTCAACTGTGGAGGTTCCTTCCTATGTATCCGGGGCACGTCGCCTTGTTCATCCGACTGTAAAGGATCGTACGAAGATGGTTGCGCGGAGATTGGGTACACAAGGTGTGGTTCGGGAAGCACAAGCGAAGCGATGCTGAGATTTCTTCCAGGCTGGACAACTCCGCTTTGTTGTGTTTGTGGACGAGTCTTCAGAAGTGATCGTGGGGCGGGCTGTGACGTAATCCGGCGCGTGCGCACGTGGTCAGCCATATGTGGTTCTCGCGCGCAAGACACTGGCAGTGCAACTTGAGGATGACTGGCATTAGGCGTGACGGGAGAAGACTCGGTTATCGACTGTTTGGGTCTCCCTTTCTTTGGCTTGAACTTGTGAGAAAGACGTTTCCCGAACGCGAGCTTCGATGGTCGATCCGGCAGGTAAGTCTGAGAGAGTCTGGATGATATGTTAGGACTTGATTGTAAACATGCAACATTTCGAGCAAGGTTGTATCGCACTTACTCTGCCATGGTTGTGGTTGCTGTGTCTACGCAAAGTCCAAAGCTGGCTCAGCCCTGCAGACGGTTACCTAGGTAGGCTGTGCGCGAAGCACATGTGTAACAGTCTCTTCCGGCCTCCGTATGGTTGAGAAACTCCAATGGGTTGAGGAAAATTCACGCAGAGTTGAAAGTGCAATATCTGAGGGCGTCAAGGAGTGTGATGAAAGCTGAAACTCAAGGGCTGTGTGCGAGAAAGCTCACGAGGCTGGGCTTCGTGTGGCTAGAGATATTTAGGGTCCAATGTGCAAGGCCCAAAGGACCGAAGATTCATTGGAAGGCTCGAATTCAATGATCTCTCTGGTGGTAGTATGCAGCCACTCGCATCTGTACCACGCTTGCCGACCAATTATTAACCAGGGCGCTACCCAACCACTGGTCAACCCACCCAGAAGATAGACCAAGATTGCTCAGCCTACTTGCATCCGAAAGCTCTTAAACCTTCCGAGCGGGCTTCACTGTGCCAACACATACTCCAAACCCGACACCAGCGCTTCCATCTCCAACAACACCTGTGTAGCGCACCTCGTCCCCATCATTGAGGTAGCGTAGCTCAGATCCATCGCTCAGTTTGCTTGGAGCCTTGCCGTTCTTAGTCAGTTCGAGCAAACATCCATGTTCATGTTCTTGTTCGCCCGACACTGTCCCGCTAGCTACCAGATCTCCCGTGCGGAGTCCACAGCCGCCGATAGTGTGGTGCGCTAACATATGCCTGAAGGTCCAGTACATCGTCTCGAAGCCAACCTTGCAGGTCGTAGTATGAGTACCGTTTCGGATGATCTGACCTTCAAGCTGGATGTTGTAATTGATGCTGTTGGGATCGTCCATGAAGGAAGCTACAGGCTCCATACGAGGCGGGGCCGAGACCTCATGGGGCTTCAATGCTTCTAGCGTAACGACCCAAGGGGTGATTGAAGTCATAAAGTTCTTTCCGTTGAAAGGCCCCAGCGGATTCATCTCTAAGCCTTGGATATCTCTCGCGCTCCAATCGTTCAGCAGAACTAGTCCGAAGATATGGTCATCCGCGTCCTTTGCGTTCAGATAAGTTCCAGCTTGAACAGGTTTGCCGATGACTGCCGCGATTTCCATCTCATAGTCCAAGCCCCGTGACGGGCCAAATATGATCTTCTTCTCCGGAACGGTGTAGTCCTCGATGAACTGACCCAGAGGTCTTGTAACGGGTGCCCCTGAGACTGTGATTGAACTTGACCGGCCTGCGTAGCCCACGGGATATTTCATGAAAGCAGGTGGGTAGGCGCGAACTCCTTGCACCGCTTCTCCCGCATTCAGAACATGGTTCGCTGAAGCGCTGTAGTCTGTGAAGTCACCAACACTGACTGGCATATGGAGGGTGACGTCGCTGATGTTCTCTGTGTAATTGGCGTGTGACTTGCTCTTGTATGCTTCTTGTATCGCCGAGCGTACTTGACTTTGTATGTCCTTCCCCAGCGCGGCAAATGTGTTCAACGTGGATTCGCGGAAGATGGAGGACAGCGGTGCTGAGATGGCTTTGAGGGAATCATGCTCCGCGAGCTCTGCGAGGAAGATGACCTCGTCGCCGATGCGCGTGGCACACTGTGGTGCAGAGCGCTTCGAAGAGCTTGCGATACCGTATGGGATGTTGTTGACACCGAAGTGCGATGCGTAATTGTCTGCCATTGTGTTGTGAGTCTTAGGTATTCTGGTGTCAAGATTTCGGTCGACTTGTTAGCAAAGAGCGATACACGATATCCAACTCGCAATACTCAGATTCCAGACTACAGTTACCAACATTAACCCGAACCTAAGCTCGCGAGACATTGTGTAGGTGGGGATTACCATCTCGGATACAGCTCCTCCACATCCCATCAACTCCTGTAAGCTAATATGTCCGGAGCTGAACACGGCAATGGTCGAGAGTGGAGACTGAGTGTTCCATGGTTATCCGGCTGAAGTTGACGCAGCTATTGATCGCGTCCAGTCCAAACTTCGCGGGACAACCTTCAGCCCTTCGGCCGTACGCGTTCGGTCTAGTACGGAAGTGGGCAAGCGCGTCCGTCAATCGATAAGCAGGACACGCGTCATCTTGACTCCCGAACAGTGGCAGTAGTTGTCGCTTGCTCACATCTCACTCCAACCCGAAGACCTTCGTACAACCCCATCCAACAACTCTATTCAAAACGGTTGGGGAAGCATGTGTGCTATGCAGAACCCCGCACGGGATATACCGAGCCTGCGCCGGCAGATGGCGGATGCAGGGTCTCTGCCCTCCACATCGGGATCCTGTATATGAGTTCACTAGACGGGTTCAGCGCGACGCGTTTGAGATGTTCATGATCATCAGGTCTTGAATCTTCTTTCCAATCACACGAAGCGTCTGTATTCATACACTACAATCAGATAATCTTGACGCTCAGTTACCTCTCTATACCCCCAGATCACCTCCAAAAAATGGCCTCCAAACCCCAAATCGCCAATGACCTTCCCAAGATTAACCGCTTCATCACAACCCACGATCCCACCACCAAGAAAGCCATCTTCTCCGATGCAGTCCCAGAAGAAGCCAAAGTCGACCACATCCCCAATGCCGACTTCCGGCTTGGATACGTTACCAAAGGATTTCCCGTCGATCTGAACAAAGACGCCGACCTCGCGGTTTACAAGCCTTACCTCGAGTCATCTCCAGGTCTGGTCGTTGGAGGAGGAACAGTGCTACGCTTTGTAGATGTAGCCCCTGGTCATCTTTCACCTATGCATCGCACAGTCTCTCTTGACTACGGTGTCGTGCTGGAAGGTGAGATGGAGTTGGTACTGGACTCGGGAGAGACAAGGTTGATGAAGAGGGGAGATGTTGCGATCCAGAGGGGCACGATGCACGCTTGGAGAAACACCAGCACCACGTCTTGGGGACGCATGATGTATGTTCTACAAGAATGTAAACCAGTAGAGGTCGGTGGTGAGGCCCTGAAGGAGGACTACGGAAACATGCAGGGTGTTCCAGCATCGTCGTAGTCGCAGTACTACTTGTAGAAACATGAAGCCATCGCATCATCGCGCATATACATCATCTTGCTCTGAGCCGTGCTGTGCCATATGTAGCTTCAATTAAATTTCCTGACATCGTGAGTGCGGCATACGACTGCCCTTTATGGCCCAAGTTGAAATGGCATTGTTAGTACAGGGAGCGAAAGCTCGGCTGACGCCGGCTGATCAATTGTCCCGAGGCAACAAAAAATGAAAAGCTCGTACGAGTTCAGACCAGGTGCCAGATGTTGGGTCTGTAAGAAGGCGTGTTCCACCTGTTCGCGTGTCTGTAATCGTGGAAGGTCAACTTAGGTAACGCGCCAATTGGAAGGCGGCACCTCCACATTCCGAACGTGCCCCTCGAACACTGCCGCCGCACCTTACCAGCGGCGCGTTGTCGGCACGAGCATCCACTACGCGTCGCAATATGATGTATATATCCAAATGCTGGATGAAGTATGTTTCCTCCTTCCCAAGTACCAGCTACACAAAATGTCTGACCAGCTAGAAATCAAAGATGCTTACTCGATTGACGAGTCGTCGTTTCCCTACATGTACGAGCAGAATGTCGCAGTGCCGCTGAAGACATCCTCAAAAGGCATCATTCGATGCAACGTGTACCGGCCGAAGTCCACGAAGGAGGGCACGAAGCTTCCTGTGCTGGTGACGTACGGACCGTATGGAAAGGATATCCACTACAAGGAGTAAGTCCAAACGGAGGCTCTCAGCCGTGCAGCAGCTAACACCTCCAGCTTTCACGGAAAGTCGTTCGCCGAAGTCAACCCCGAACATCACTCTGATCACTCAGCATGGGAGACGCCAGACCCAGGTTTCTGGACGAAGCATGACTACATCATCGTGCGCGCCGACGAACGCGGCTTGGGCCAGTCTCCAGGCTTCTTGGACACCATGTCGCGCGGAACAAGCGAGGCTTTCTTCGATGTCGTCGAGTGGGCTGCTGAGCAGCCGTGGTCTTCTGGAAAGGTCGGCCTGCTCGGTATCAGCTACTATGCTGGATCCCAGTGGCGTGTGGCAGCGCGCAAGCCCAAGGGACTGGCCGCAGTCATTCCATGGGAGGGCATGAGCGATTACTACCGTGATCGATGCCGCCATGGAGGTATTTTGAGCAACAAGTTCATCGACTTCTGGTGGTAAGTATTTCTCGCAATCTGCTAAACTTCAGATACTAA